AAAGGGGAAGGAAAAGATCCCGTGAGCGGCTGTGTAGTGGTGAAGAGCACGAGAAGTCAGGAGACCTGCATCATGGCCGTTGCTCTGTTAGCCAGTTGGATGGACACATAAGCTATCTCTGAGCAGCAGTTTCCTTGTCTGCACAGTGGAAATTGGCAGGGGTGTTCATAAGAGTCTCTTGTGATAAAGCCTTTCATTGCTATAATTTATGATGGTCCCTCTTGCGTTTGTTGAGGACTGTGCTGTTTTTGTGGATGCTTAGTTGGGTTTCGCTTTTTTCCCCAGTCGTTGCATTTTATCCACATTTCAAGATTCCCACTTTCCATTCTCAGGGGGGAGAAAATTGAAGAGTGACTACTTATAACAAAATCACTTTCCCAGGCTTGTAGGATTCACATACATTCTACATGTGCTTTTACAGACATTACCTTGTGTGAGTTTTACCACCTGCCCTGTCATGGAGGTAGACAGAATAGTAGTTGCATTTCACACCTGAGGCATTTAAACTTTGAAGTTTAAGTTGACTTACCCCGGCCCTGGAGCTACAAAGAGACTTAAGGGGGAGCTTGCTAGTTGATATTTGGCTTCCAAACTTTCCCAGTGCTGCTTCCTCTCCATTCAGGGACTTTATGGTGAATATATATATCTATATATCTTCCTGTTAGAAGGTTTTCATTAAAAATGCCAAACTTTTCTTTTTTAAATAGGAAAAATTTAAATAAAATTTAAATGAGAAAGATGGTGGATAAGAAAGGATGAAGACAGACTGTCTCAAATATCTCTGCAAAGTTGGTCATCATTTTTTTTTTTTAAAGATTTATTTATCTGAAAGGCAGAGTTACAGAGAGGCAGAGGCAGAGGCAGAGAGAGAGAGAGAGAAAGAGAGTCTATCTTCCATCTGTTGGTTCACTCCCCAAATGGCCACAATAGCCAGAGCTGGGCCTATCTGAAGCCAGAAGACTGGAGCTTCTCCCAGGTCTCCCACATGGGTGCAGGGGCTCAAGAACTTGGGCCATCTTCTACTGCTCTCCCAGCAGAGAGCTGGATCCGAAGTGGAGCAGCCGGGACTCAAACTGGCTCCCATATGAGATGCTAGCAATGAAGGCTTCGGCTTTATCCGTTATGACACAGTGCTGGCCCCAAAGTTGGTCATCTTTAATATGGTCAGACATATGCAGAATGTGTGTCTCATGAGGGTGACCCTGCACCAGTGCTGCCCAATGGAACTTTTAGCAATGAGATTGCATTCTGGGTCTGCCCAATACTGGAACCATTAGCCATATGTGATTTTTTAAAAAATGAGACACTTTAAAAATTTTTAAATTTTCATTTGATTTGGAAGGCAGAGGGATAGAGATCCTCTATCCACTGATTCATCCCCCAGATACCTGCAACAGCCAGAGCTGGGCCAGGCTATAGCCAGGAGTCTCATGTGGGTGACAGGGGTCCAACTACTTGAGCCATCACTACTGCCTCCTGGGGTGTGCATCAGCAGGAAGCTGGATCGGAAGTGGAGCTGAGCCTTGAACTCAAGCACTTCGATATAGATGTGGGTGTTCCAAGAGGCCATTTAACTGCTGTGCCACATACCTGCCCCTGTCTGTGTTATTAAAAATGGGGCGGGCTGACAGAGATGAGGAACTGAATTTTTCATTTTATTTAATTTTAATAGAGCTTAAATAGTCACCTATGGCCTGAGGCTACTATAAGGTTACAGTTGTTGCATCTTTAAATTGCAAGGGTTGAGCTAGCTGATCTTTAAAAGCTCCTTTCATTTGTAGACATATAGGATCTATACCTTCTAAAACTGTAGTGATTCAGATTGAGCTGTGAACCTAGAATTCCTAAAGTATGGTCTTTGATTCACGTTATCTTTCATTTCTTTTTTAATTGGATGACCAGCATCAGGGATGAGATGGATTGGAAGGCAAAAATCAGTGTTTGATGGTATCTGCCCAGTGCTAGTGTCTGAATAGATGTGTTGTTGGGGAAGAATACAAATTCCAGATAGAGACATCCCTGTCTGGCATTCTCTCCTCAATGTATGCAGAGAGGAATTATTTTAAACACTTCTTTGTGCTGCTCGCTTTCTTTTAAGATGATTAGAACGGACTGATAAATGGCACCGTGTTTTATGCATGGGGAGAACAGACTGAAGAAGTCACGCTAACTCTTCTCCGTAGGTGAAGGCACATTGTGCCTGTGTCGGTATCGGGGGAGGAGATTTTTATTAGTCATTCCCCCAAAACCTTTACGCCTTGGGTAGCAGTTGAAACCGTTCTGGGCTGGTGATTGGTCCAGTTTGCTTGAGCTGACATTGCAGAGCATCTCAGGGCCTCTGCTTTTAGCATAGCATCTGGTAAACCTATCTTTGCCTTACAGGAAGGGAAAAGATGGTTTTAAATAAGGTGTTCTGAAAATCCCTAGCAAAGACACACTGTTGTGACTCTGTTTTGCCCTCCACATGAATGACCTCCGTGCCTGAAGTTTAAATGTTTCACTTAATATAGAATCTCAATCCTTGATTTTTATACCAAGCCATATTTCTTCTGTAATCCTAAGTAAGCCAAGACTTTGTTCCCTGATCTGGCCTTATGCCCCTGTCCTTTTTCACTGCTAGAGCTGATGGCTGTGTGGGCTCAGAGTCCGCTGTCAGAGAGCTTGCTTAAGAAATGTGGTGGAATGAATAGATGAGTCTTCCCAGGCCCTTGTTCTTGTTTGGCACTGGGAACACTTTTTACTCCCTCCTTTTGTTTGTTCTTTTACACATTTCTCACAGTTCTACTGATAAAAGAATGTTCCGAGTTATGAGGCATTTCTCTAACAATTGTTAGTGAAATAAAAGCATTCTGGCTAGATAGGAAATCTAAAGTCTTTTTTAATAGCTCTGATGCTAAAATCTCCAGGTCACTTGAACAAAGTAAGGTGTTTGGTGCTCTTTTACCTACGGGGGTAGGAAAAGTAGTGTTTCCCAATGTTTTTCAAGTCATGGCATGAATAGATGGTTTTTATGGTACACTGCAGGAAAATCAGAAAAATAACAGGAGATCTTGGAGCTCCTAAGACCAGGAGGTCACTTTCTGCTATCTTGGAGTCTACTAGGTGGGAAGCCCCCACCGAGGGACTAGAAAGGAAGCCTGTGTTTCTGGGAGGAGGGTCTTTATCTCACATTTTACAGATCCCGGTGCATTCTGGCTCTCGTAGCAGTGCAGCCAACTTCTGGAGTTATTCTCCACCTTCTTGCCAAAAACAATTCTACCTTTAAAAGAAAAGTAAATTAGGGACCAGCTTTGTGACTCAGCAGGTTAAGCTGCTGCTTATAATGCTGGGATCCCGTTTTGGAGCACCCTTTTGGAGTCCTGGCTGCTCTGCTTCCAGTCCACATTCCTGCTAATGTGCCCAGGAAGATGGCCCAAATATCTGGATTCCTGCCACCTATGTGGGAGATTGTCGCTCCCCCTCTTCATGGAGGAACGACACTAAACCCTGCCTAGGCTTCATATCCGAGTCACGGCACCATTATGTCGCTCCCCGTCTTCGTGGAGGAACGACACAGGACCCTGCGCTGTTCTTTCGTCTGCTCGGCCCTCCCCGGGTTTGCTGCTGGTTCTTCCCGGGTTGGCTACCGACCCTTCCACCTCCGTGGAAGGGCGGTTCCCCCTGCCACTTTTCCCCACTTCCGCGGGGGAGCGGCACACCGCCAGCCGGCTCTCTCGGGGGCTGCACAGGTGTTCCTTCAGATAGATGTTCCCCTTAGATGTTCCTGGTGCATGTTGTCTCCTCCTTTATAGTCCTCTTCTGCCAATCCCAACTCTGCTACCCACACGCTGAGTACGCTGCTCTCCTCCAATCAGGAGCAGGTCCTACAGTTTGTTGGTTGAACTGGAGGCAGCTGTGTAGAAGCTGTTTCTCCCTTCTCAGCGCCATATTGTGGGAGAGCAGATGCACAGAATAAGTCTTAATTCCAGTAACTTAGTCTAGTCCGAGTTGCTCCCCACAGGAGATCAGAATGGAGTTCTGGCTTCTGGCTTCAGCATGGGCCAGACCTAGCTGTTGTGGTCATTTGGGGACTGAGCCAGCAGATGGAAGATCTCTCCCTCTTTGTTTTCTTTCTGTTTCTCTGCCTTTCAAATAAGTAAATAAATAAATCTTTGTTTTCTTTCTGTTTCTCTGCCTTTCAAATAAGTAAATAAATAAATCTTAAAAAATTAAGTTAATACTTACTTTGTTTTGGTACTCTGTTATATATGGGATTGGGACTTTTTCTCTACTTACTTTCTTGAATCCTTCCTTCCTCTATTCCCCCTAAGATTGGATATCAATGCTTTATAAACATTCAGGTCCAGAAAAGCTTCCAGCAAGTCTCATATCAAAAGACCTGTGGAGCAGGGAGGTTAGAGTGACTAATGTAAAATAGCAGCTAATCATGATAGAACTTCATTTAGGACCCCTGTTTCCTGTCCCTAGGCCCCTTGGTGTACAAGGAATTGAGGTTTGACTATTACATTTGCTCCATTCTGGGTTTTCTTACCTGGCTTGAATATTGTCTTTTTTTTTTTTTTTTTTAAGATTTATTTATTTATTTGGAAGAGTTACACAGAGAATGAAGGAGAGGCAGAGAAGGAGAGAGAGGGAGAGAGAGGTCTTCCATCCCCTGGTTCACTCCCTGATTGGCTTCAATTGCCAGAGCTGCACTGATCCAAAGCCAGGAGCTAGGAGTTTCTTTTGGGTCTCCCATGTGGGTGCAGGGACCAAGGACCTGGGCCATCCTCTACTGCTTTCCCAGGCCATAGCAGAGAGCTGGATCGGAAATGGAGCATCCGAGACTCAAACTGGCACCCATATGGGATGCTGGCACTGCAGGTGGCGGCTTTACCCACCACGTTGCAGCACTGGCCCCTTGAATGCTGTCTTGAGCTTAGGAACCCCATAACTGTCGTGTGAGTTTAAGAGTTGAGGATTTGAGGACGCATTTTACCTTTAATATTTCTTTCTTTTAGGTTCACTTTTGGACTTCCCTGGATAAGAGTTATTGAAAAAGGCAGCCTGTTGAACATGTGGATTTTCAGAAGATTGGTGTTTACTCTCAACTCTGATTTGGTATGCAGATGGAAAACCCCGAGAAGTTCCCTAGTTCTCTGTCCAAGCAACTTTGTAATAAACAGTTATTAATATGACCTCTGCCTTCCATTAAGTGTAACCTTTTGCCTTCCAAATTAAAAAGCTCCATGCCACTCCTCCATGTGCCTCTGGCTCTGTTATTTATTTTATTTTCTGTTGTCATCAGAATCCTCTTTTCCCCTTCAATCTTGTGTGCTAAACTCTTTATGAGTTGATAACTTGCAACAGTGAACCTCCGTCCTTGTTTTCATTAAGTGAATCTGAAGTTAATGACAAAAGGCAATGGCGACAACCTGGGAAATGGCAGTCCTTTGTCTTTTCCCCGGTAGGTAATCCCTTATTAATCCTTCCCTTGTTACAGGTGCTTCTGCTCTTAGGACACAAGGCATTCCTGGAACTGCATCATTAAGCACTTTGTTAGAAATTGAACCAAGTGTGTGCTTTCACATTTACATTTGTTTCAACATGCCTTAGTGGGGAAAATGAAATATGTATCTCTTAGGCAATGTAAGCAGAGTGTAAAAAGTGACGATTGTTTGTAGATTGATTTATAGCATAGGGCAGACTCCAAAGCATCTTCATGAATATTTTCTCATTTTATTCTTGAAGTTTTCTCAATCCTTGTTAGGTAGATTGGGAAGTCAAAGCTCAGATGTGTGACTTGCTGAAGGTCAGAGTTCATGGCAAAGCTCGGATAGTGCATAGGGCTGCTGACTGAGGTCTGAGCATATTTGTATGTATCATGCTAGCAACCCCCTTTGCATCATGGGTGCTATTAGCGTTGCCATGTCTGGGACACAAAGCTGTGCCAATGCCACTGTTTGATTTGGTGGACTGCTGGGATGGTGGGTTATGCCCTGATTTTTCTTCCATAGGGCTGCACGTGAGTATCATCTGGGAAACTTAAAATAGGATGCCAAAGCCCAGGCCAGTGAAGTCTTTGAGAGTGGCATCTGTAGTTTGTAAAACTACCCAGGTGATTTCATTGTGCAGCCAAACTGGATGAGCACAGCTCTAGGGTCTTGCTATTCAAAAAGTAGTCTTTGGCAATATTGACATCATCTAGGCAGCTGCTTGAAAAGGAGACTCCCAGGTCCCAATCTGAACCTGCAGAAGCAGAATCTTCATCTTAACAAGGCCCCCAGCTGATTAACAGGCACAATAAAGTTTGAGATCTGATCTAGAGCAGTGGTTTTCAAATCTGGATATATCTCACAGTTACCTGGGAACTTGGGCCTCTGTGTTTATTAGTGTTCTGCTTGATGAAATACCCTCACCAGCTGCAGATCAGGAGGCAGCAGGCTTTTTCTTAAATGAACAGGCAAGACTGTTCCAACATGCTTACGAAAACTGGCTGTTGGTCCGTGGGTCATGGTTTACCACTAAGGTTATGAATTAGCAGTTTAACTTGCTTTAACACTTATATACAGACATCATATAGCTTTCTCAAGGCACTAATGAGTAATTTTTAATCTATATTGGATGAACAGGAATTTTGAATAAGTGAAGTATCTGAGATTGGGCATTGTGGCACAGTGGGTTAAGCTGCTGTGTGGAACACCTGTATCCCATACTGGAGTGCCTGGGATTGAGTTCGGTCTCTGCTTCCAATCCTGTTTCCTGCTAATGTATACCCTGGGAGGCAGTAGATGATAGCCCAGGTACTTGGGCTCCTGCTATCCGTGTGGGAGACCCAGAGGAAGTTCCTGGCTCCTGATTTCTGTCTGGCCTGTCCCTGACTGTTACAGGCACTTGGGAAGTGAACCAGTAGATTGAAGAAATCTGTCTTCTCTGACTCACCCTTTCAGTCACTTTGTCTTTTAAATAAATAGATAAAACTTTAAAAAGTATCTGAACTGGGGTTGGTGTTGGGCTCAGTGGTTGAAGACGCTGCTTGGGACATCCTCAAACCATTCAGAGTACCTGGGTTTTGGTCCAGACCCTGATTCTGGTTCCAGTTTACTGCTAATGTGCACTTTGGGAGGCGGCAGGTGGTAGCTGAAGTACTTGGGTCCTGCCATCCATGTGGGAGAGCCTGATCGAGTTCGAGACTCCTCATTTGGCCCTGGCCCAGCCCTGACTTGTGGAGGGAACCCCCAGTGAAAGTGGCAGATGGAAGGTCTTGTCTCTCTCTGCGTCTCTGCCTTTCCAAGAAATAATAAAAATTCAGAAACCTTCTCAGAAAGTATCTGAACTTAAAGACAAATGGACTGAAAATTGGGGATAATAATTTTTATCAAGGAAGACAGTTTTTAGATTTTAATTTTTCATTTTTAATAGATTTTAATTTTCTCATACTGATCTTGATATACATTGGACAATATTAAATCCCATTTATCAGACCAGCTGTTGTTTTAACAGGTTGTGATTTACACGTCAGTTATCACCCACAGGAAACAATCGCCTTTGGCAGGGTTTTCACTGTTTACAACAGGGCAAAAACCTGGACTTGCCTTTGAAGTCTAGGATTTAAATTTAGTTATAGGTGACTAGTTTGTTTTTAGCTTCTGTTGATTTGCTCCCTGGTTCTTAATTCCCCATGCACAGAGGAATTAGCTGTGCAGCTGTTCCTTTAAGGAAATGTGTACCCTCCTCTCCTGAGCTGAGTTTCTGAATCTTAGGTGTTTTAGCTGAAGCATGTTGATGAGTTGATTTTGAGGTCTACTGTATAGAGAGTGAGGTATATTCTAGCGTTTGCTGCTGCCTCCAGCTTAACACCTCTACAGGGTGGTTTATTTTTATTTTATGTGCTTTTGTGGGACCGGAAGCCTTCTACCATAAACACTGTACGTGGTCTCTGTTCCCTGCTATTCTTTGCAGTGGTGGGAAGCCCAGCCCTGAGCACCTCCTGCCCACACATTTCCTGTCCCCTATCACATGGAAACCATCGCTCATGTTTTCTTCTCTTAGCAGCCTATACCTTTGACCTCTTTGATCACATCCTTTCATCTTGGGCTTCAAAACCCTTTTGTGATGGTTGGAAAATACTTGGGGAGGCCAAAGAGGGCTGTTCTTTGGTGTTGGAAGCTCAGTATGTAGGTACTGGCCTGTTACTAGTGACTGGGGAGCTTGGGCATGAAGTCAATGTGACCCTACTGCTCATATGTCTTGGTGTGTTACTCCTGTGGGCTTGGGCAACCTAGACTAAATTCTGAGGCCCATATGACTTTACAGGTAATTTTTAAAAATGTTAGCAAATATATGAAATGGGTTTCTCCAGTGGGAGAAGACACTTCTTAGAAGAAGGATCTCAGGTGAGGGAGAAAATAGTGGGAGGAAGCTTATGAAGGGTCAATATAAATTGTGTTTTATTTGCTTGCCCTGACTTCATAGGTGGGTCTGAGCTCATGTTAAGAGACATCTGTCAGTGGGATAAAAAGAGTATTTTCAAACCACCATCGAGACGACCTGAGGTTTCAGAAAGTACTTTGCCTGATCTGCAAGTGTTGATTCAAGGACCTGTTCTGCCACTTTTTGTCTGTTGACCTTTTGTCTCTAAAATTTAGCAAATGATTAATCAGGCACCAGGGCTCTGTGCTAGACAGTGCATGGGATTAAGAAGATAAAACAGACCTGTGTCCAGGAGTGTCTGAGCTAACAATGAGCATCTGCCACACATCTGGCACAATGTTAGTGCCCTCTGGTTCATGCTTCCCTACACTCTGAGCAGACAGGTGGGTGTTCCTCTGCAGATGAGCTGTAGGACTGTGGTGGTCCATGGCAGGCAAGCCTTGCTCTTCCCTGGGAGAAGTGGAAAGAAAGATCTCGTTAGGAGCCCAAAGGAGGTCTGCTGTTCTAGAAGTCACAAAAACAACTTTGTTTTTAACTTTTTACTGAAATTTTCACACACACACATGTCCATAGACAGTGGAATAAACTCCTTGATACCTAACACTCAGCTTCAACAGTATCTCCTTTTCATCCCAGTCTGGTTGCAGGGTTTGAGTAAGAGCCATCTGGTAGGAGAGCTCATTCTTTGTGCTTTTCCTTCCTTCATTTAGCTAACGAGTATCTGAGTGCCTACTATGTGCGAGGTGCTAGAGACACAGAAATGGGCAGGAAGGATGAGGCGCCTCCCTGAGTCCTTAACGCCAGTGGGGAAGAGAGGCAGATCAGTGTGTAAGTGGAAGGATGCGCTTGTAAGTGGGGGAAAGGAAGTAAACTGTTGTGATAGGAAGTGGAGTGGGAGGGGGCTCGGAGCATGTGGGGCTCAGGCGGAGCGGAGTGAGGAGTGAGGACGCGCAGGAGGAGTGTGTCTAGACAGTTCTGCATTAACCCTCACTGCCATCTGGTTGAGTAGTGGAGTTTGCATGGGAGAAAATAATGACCTCAGGACACACTCACATCAACAGCTGTTTGCTGAAGGAGCGTACAGCGCTCTGTTGCCATTCTAACCTAATCCTAAGAAGGAATCAGTCACAAAGGAGGAAGGGACACCGAGACAGAACATGAGTCGCTGGTCTCCGAGGGTCCTCAGGACTCCGGGCAGTTTGTGCCCTTTGCTCTGTGGTGGCTGCACCGAGAGCCCCTGGGACTTCTGTGTCCACAGAGCTTGGCGGGAAGCTGGGGGTGGGATGGCGGGAGTCTGAGCCCAGTGCAGCTCAAGGCCTGGCTCACTGTGAGCCTACCCAGGCCACATCACCTGCTTTCTACTTTGTAAAAAGAGGAGAGGACTCTCTGCCTGCTGCTGGAGTTGTGAAGATCAAAGGAGATGTTTGCTTTGGTGTTGTGCAGACCAGGATATGGTGAATCAAGACTCCAGATAAGGATGTCTCCCCACCCGTGTCCCTTGGTAAACCACTGCAATAACTTGGGTCAGCAGGAAGGAGGGCGGAACCCCCAGATACTGATAAAAATAGGGCCTCGCAGTCTCCCCTGGAAAGGAATCCCTTTTAAGGTTCCTTAGTTTCCTCCTGTCAAGGCTGGAAGCATGAAACGAAGACCAGTCGCTCACCACTATCTACACCACATCTTTCATCTGCTTAAATTCTCTTAAGTCCTGCCAGCCTTGTCTTCTTACATTTATGTGATCTTCCTCTAATAGTTTCCTTTTTTCTCGATTGCTGAATTTTATGTGGGTGGTTCAGGGGAAGAGAAGACTGGCCCTCTCCCTTGCTCC